AATATCGGTGGGGTGGCCGATGTCCGATATTCAGTTTTAAGGCCGATACCGATAGGGGGCCGATTATATCGTGCATCCCTAGTCATAACCAGTTCTAATCAGCTGTGGACTCTTAATGCCTAACCCTATCCAGGAGTGCAGAGTTCAGGGGCCCTTTATTAGGCACCATCATAAGTGGGACCTGCTCCCGCTGCATGTTACTCTATGACAACTGACTTGTGTGTATAAAGATTCTGGAACTGGAACTGAAGTTAGAGTTAATTATTTAACTCAGAGGTCTTCAACAGGGGGTCCACAGAGGAACTGCATGGGGGTCGCGAAAGTGTTGGTTGATTAGACTTTTTTTTATATTCCCCCCTGCAATGTTTTCCACTATTTGAAATGTCTTTAAATACACATAAACATGAATTCAACACACTATAGTAAACAGATAAATGGAGGCAGAAGATGTCTTTCAGTCATCAATGCACACATTCAGCGACACACAGGAGCTCTTTCAAGCTGGGCACCGTTTCATTCACAACACCTGTCCCATCAACCAGGAATCAGAAATACTTTAATAATCCCAGGGAGAAATTACTTTCTTTATAAGACTCCATCTGTAATAGAGTGACTATAGGACCATTTTGATACTTATTTGACATTCATACAATATATAATTAGGGGGTCCCTGCTCCATCTCGCAATCAGTTTGGGCGTCCTTGGCCTGGAAAACGTTGAAGACCCCTGATTTAACTCATTCAAAATCTGAGGTGAAATCAATTTAGCGTTCTTAGTTGAATAATTGTAGCTTTAATTTACTTACTTACCAGGTTTTATGCCTTTCACATCTGGATGGTTCCTGGACCGGCTGTTAAAATCCAGATATCCACACCAATTTAGTGATCTAGGCTAGTTTATCAGCAGAGCTATTAATTATCAATGAAAGAACAATTTATCTCTGTTTATTCACACTATTACCAAAAGAGGGTGGATCTGGCCTGAGTGATAAACCATCCGTATATATATGAATCACAAACCACTGCAAGTTAAACAATGACTTCTTTATTCTAATAATTCAGGATTGCAGAAATCTAACATCTATGTAAATACCACACGCTATTTGAAAAATAAACACAAGGTAGAATAAGTAAGTAGTTTAAAAGGAAAAAAAAGGAATAAAACCTTAAGATTCCGTTTAACTGGCTTCTGAGATTGTCCAAGATAGACCAGATGTTAATACATCCACTAATGTCCGTTATAATAGCAGGTATGATGATAACAACAGTGCAGTTAAAACAACATAAAATACATTCAGCCTAAAATGATAAATATTAAAGGGATAGTTCGGTATTTTTGACATGAATCTGTATGGCATCCCCATCACCAGTGGCATGCAATCACACTGACTTACCCCTGGCAGCGTCCTGTGAGCAGAGTTATCGTCCAGTTTTGGTCAAGCCGAAAGTAGTCCGGCAGGTTTGCCATCAACAACAGCCATGTCTCCCTCCGCCTAGCTGGGCGGAGGGAGACATGGCTGTTGTT